CTTTAATACTTTTACTCAAGTAATATTCCTAAAGGAGACTTTAACTTTTACTAAAGTAATTTTTTGGTAAGATACTTGTACTTTTACTCAAATATCACTTTGTGGTACTTTATACAAGACTGGTCCACAGTTATTTTTGGAATGAGTTGCATCAGGACATGTTCATATTTTTCATAATTGGTGTGAAAAAGACTGGAAAGGCTCATGAAGCAAAAATATTTTTGGGTATTTAGTGTATTTTCTTTAAAAAATTATCTAGTTAGGCAAGTATTTTTCTAGAACTSGAAAATACTCTAATCAAATTGGTATTTTTTAAAGACTGCATAAAACACTGTATTTTCACTGGAAACCAACTTAAAAGTCACATTCAGTTTCAACCCTCACTAAACTGTTACATTCTACTCATTTTTTGCTTTTTATTTCTTTTATTTCCTTCCACCTGCAACGTATCTCACCTTTTCTCTTCTTTTCTACAAAAGGTAAGAAAAGCTTGAGCCTAAAAATGATTCACATCAATAGAACAGCTCATCAAAGCGACTTGCCTATAGTCTGCGACACTCTGTTATCAGGAATACAACTGGGAAAGCCCAGAGCTGCAGACAAAAAAAACAGGCCTAACTCAAACAACTGGCTGCCTTTCATGTTTTTGATGGGCACCGTTAAAACCGGTGTGGGTTTGTGCTGCACAGTGACAGCCGGCAGATTTAGTTTCAAACTGGAAACATATCTTTAAAGAGTCAGAAGTGTTGCTTCAACAGGTTTCCAGACAACCTGTGGTTCCCTACATGCACACATCAGAGACACGAGGAGACACATTTGGTCTGTTTAAACTCAAATCTGACTCGTAACGTATAGATTGTTGCACACGCTCTATAATGCATCTCGGTTTTTTAGTTTATCCACATTCTGCTTCAAATTTGGACCCCAAAGTCTCTATTCTGCCACTTTTAGTGAAATTCAGTTAAAATCTAAAAAAAAGCTGTTCTCCATTAACCTCAACATTTTCCCTCTGCAGCCAGAGTGAAAGGCTTGTCGATTCTTTGGAACTGATGAAAGAACCAGGTCAAACACAGAGCAAAACACCCACCTTTCAAATYACACACAGTGCATGTCAATCACCTGGCTTTTACAACAAGAAGGAGGGTAAGTGAACCACATCTGGACATAAATCTTTTGGTCCTTATGTTGACATTTCATCAGCGCTGCAGCATGAAGTACACGCCAATAACTGCGGTCCGACTTATTTTTGAGTTCAATTTACAAAGTTATCTTTCCGTGGCCGCAGGTCTGTGATCATTCATGGAAAATGTCACTAAATCCAGTCACAAGTCAACAAAGAAAGGTGATGATGGAGAGCAGCGGGGGGCAAGACTGACATTTTAGCAGCTCAGAWTGTGTAAAAATCTAAAGCTTAGGGGATGAAAATTGTACAAATAGTCCAGAGTGAACTTGCTGTGTAAATCCTGTGGGAAAATT